TTTGGCTATTTTGGCTATTTTGTGGTTACATATGAAATTTTAGGACCTTTTATACTATTTCTGTGAAAAATGTCACTGGAATTTTGACAGAGATTGCATTAAATCTGGTATTTGTTTTGAGCAGTATGGGTATTTAAACAGTATTAATCCCTTCAATCTTAACCACAGGCTGTAATAGTCAGCTTTCCTGTTGTTAGGACCAAACAGCCAACACTCATAACTTCAAGAAGGAAATGCCTTATATGGCTCCTAGTTTCAATCCATGGTTAATGAGTTTCAAGGTAAAAATATCAAGGTGGAAGGGTGGGGCCGAGCAGAGCTGCTTCCTTCATGACAGCCAGGAAGCAGAGCAGGGGATAGATCAGAGCCGAAGGGATAAGGGACCATCTACATAATACCCAAAATCACATCTCCATGATTTACACAAACACTCACAGAAGTGTGCTTCACTGATCCCCTGGTGACTCCCAAGCCAACCAAGTTAACAGAATTAAGCTTAAACACTCTGTAAGCTATCTCTTCATGTCCATTATTTCTTAAGTACTGTTTACATGCTGAATTGTTCTAATTAATTTAAGAAATTAAAAACATTGAACAAGACACAATCTCTGGTACTAGTGATATAATAATATATCTATTGTAGTTGTGTTTTTGTGCACAAGACCCGTGACTTAGTACATAGGGCTCTAAAATGTCCATTGATTCGAAAACAAGAATTCAAATGATAAAAATTTAAGAAAGATGTTTAGACTTCCGTATGAGGCTGCAAAATAAACATTTCTCTGGATTTCAAGTATGGAACGTGACCATTTACACCTCAGGATAATCTTTTCAGGCCTTGGGAAGGGAGTATGGAGAGGGTGGCTAGGAACTGACAGAATCTATTAGGAGTCTTTCCTTTTATTTACGTTTTTAAAACAAACAAAAAAAGACTTCTTTTTAGAGCAGGTTTAGAGGTTCATAGCAAAATTGAGAAGAAAGTAGTACAGAGAGCTCCCATATAGCTTTTGCCTACCCTGCGCAATTGCACCAGTTCAACACCCCCTGCCAGGGTGAAGCATTTGTTACAGCTGATGAACCTGCATGGCACAGGATTATCACCGAAGGTCCAGAGCTCACATAGCTCACTTGGTGTGTGCATTCTGTGAGCTGTGACAAATATAGATGACATGAATCCACCACCACGATATCACAAAGAATACCTTCATCTCCCTAAAATCCACTGCCTTACTCTAATTTATCTTCTCTCATCCCTAACCCCTGACAACCACTGATCTCTTTGCTGTTTCCTTGTTAAATACATAAACAAGCAAACTTGCCTTTATGTATCTTACAATGCATTTAGTCACCTCATCACTAATCCTTGTATTGCTAGACTCTTCTCTTTTTATTCATAATTCTATTGACCTATTTCCCTCATTAAAAAAACTTTAGGCTCACTTGGCATGGTGGTGCACACCTGTAATCCCAGCACTTGAGAGGCTGAAGCAGGAGGACTTCCCTGAGTTTGAGGCCAGCCTGGGCTACACAGTGAGTTCAAGGCCAGCCTGAACTTCAAAGTGAGACCCTGTTCCAAAAAATAAATAAGATAAAATAAAATAAAATAAAAACTCTTTAAGCTCAAGAGTGAAAAGATACTGAATTTAAAACATTAACAGGATATGTGCTGGGGATTTAGCTCAGCGGCACAGCACCTGCCCAGCAAGCACAAGGTCGTGAGTTCAATTCTGGTACTAGAAAAAAAAACCAAAAAAACAAAAAACAAAAAAAAAATTAAGAGGTTGTAAATTGCATGATTTTTCAAAAAGATACTTGTGGCTATCCATGTCTTGTTAATGTGAAGGTCATTTTATCAAGCATTTTTGATTAAATGGAGCCGTGCATATTATGAATATGTAAAAAAGTAATAGTATTAAATGTAATATATATGTCTGCATTGCACAGGGTTTAAAATTATAATTTCTCTAGTTTAGTATTTGTTTTAATTTTTTAAAATACCACTTGCCTTCAAGGGATAAAAACAATTATTCCTAGGTCAAAGGGGAGAATTACTTTATGGAAGCTATTTAACTTAATTTGATTTATTTTTAATAATATATAACATGAAAATGTTAATTTGAAATATTAAGAAGTGAATTCCTTGGAGAATTCACTAAAAGTTAGTTTTACTTTACAAATTATTTTGCAGTACTGTCTTTTTTACTTGAGGTTTTCTTGTGCTCAAACTCAGACTGTTGGGTACAAAATAAGTATAAGAAGAATTAAAATAGAATAAAATTCCATATTCAAATACTTATTATGACACAAATGAAAGCTTCATTTTATGCAGTTTTATATAATTTCTGTTTTAGTATATCTGCTAATTTTTGCCACATTGACAGCTACACAGTTGACTTAATCTGATAAAAAAAGAATAATTAGATTTATTATCTGAAACAATTTTTACTTACTTTAACTTGTGAGAATGAATTTCTTTTTGGTGTAGCTTTTAGGAATAATTCTTAAGTGGGGTATTGAAATACTTCTTTCAGTTCACTAAACTCTAAGTTTTCAATCTGATAAAATGAATCAAGAAATGTTTAACACTCCTAGTCAGAGTTTGAGTATGTTCTACAAGTGTTCCAATAAAGCAAAATATAATAACTACTTTTTATTAGTTCCCTAGTTATGGATCTAATAATAATCTGATAATTTCAAGGCTAGTTCCTTGATATAATGCATTAATTCATTCCACCTATCAATTGCAACCTTAACATAATGTTTTAATTTTTTCTCCATCAAATACTTATTAAATACCTTTTAGTTCTTTATAACAATACATAATCAATGCTCTCTTTTTGTGATCATGAACATAAAACTCTACTTACAGCTGAAGTAAACACAAATGGTTCAAATAGAATTGTATTCTCAGACCAGGGATTTTTGTATTGCAAAAATTTCCTGAATATTTATAAGTTCAAGAATATTTCTTCAAAAAAACACAACGCTTCATAACTACTTGGAATAAGGAGAATGTGCTGTTAGAGGTGAGGTGTATAAGAGGGCACATGGACAGACAGGTGCCTGCTGTACTGCCTGTGTGACCAAGGGCAGCCTAGTTAATTTCCCTAAGCCCATTTTCCTCTTTTGGAATGACTATCTCAGGTAATTTTTGTGAGGACCAAACATATACATGAAGATATTCTCAGAACAATAGTGCTACTGGGGGCCCAGGCCCATGGGGAGCCATGGGTGGGGACCACTGGTCTTCAGACCAGCTTGCTCCCGGCCTCATAGTCCCCTGGAAGGAGGGGCCCAGGCGCATGGGGAGCCATGGGCAAGGAGCGCCAGTCTTCGGACCGGCTAGCTCCTGGCCTCATAGGCCCCCAGAGGGAGGGCCTCCGGTGCGGGGGGAGCCACGAGCGGGGAGCACTGGTCTTTGGACTGGCTCTCTCCCTGCCTCGTAGGCTGCCAGAGGGAGGGCCTCTGGTGCGCAGAGAGGCACGGGCAAGGAACGCCAGTCTTCCGGCTAACTCGCTTCCTGCCTCATAGGTGCCCAGAAGGAGGGGCCCAGGCGCTGGAGGAGCCACAGATGGGGAACGCCTGTCTGTGGAGCAGCTTGCTCCCTGCTCCATAGGCCCCTGGAAGGAGGGCTTCTGGTGTGCGGGAAGCCACGGGAAGGGAGCACCTGTCTTCAGACCAGCTCACTCCCTGCCTTGTAGGCCCCTGGATGAAGGGCGTCTGGCACATGGGAGCCATGGGCTGGGAGCGCCAGTCTTCCAGCTGGCTTGCTTCTGGCCTTGTAGGTGCCCAGAGGGAGGGGCCCATGCACATGGGGAGCCACGGGCAGGGAGCACCGGTCTTCGGACCAGCTCGCTCCCTGCTTCGTAGGCCCCCGGAACAAGGGATCCCTGCGCAGGGGGAGCCAAGCGGCAGCGAGCGCTGTTGCACGCTGGCCCTCAGGCCAGCTGCTGCCACTCAACTGAGAACTACCATGACACAGAGAAACACCGACACAATTGGCCCACCATGCACTGGCTGCAGATGCCCACCCATGGATGTGTGTTAATCATTCAAACATGGAGAAACCCCTGGGAATACGTGCCATACAATGGGCCACTCTTGCTCCTGCCATTGAGAACCAGAAAGGTCCAGAGTCAGCGGAGGAGCAGTTGCTGAACAAGGACTCAGAGAACATGAGAATGCAGACTAAGCCAGAGGAGTCAGAGGTCTTGTGGACTGGGGTCATGAGAGCCATTTGGAAGCTGTAAACCAGGAGGACCTTGCACAATACCTGTGGAGACTCCCTGGAAGCCGTTCTTCCCCTGACAGTACAGGCTGTGGTGAAGCTCCAGAGAAGTCTGCAGCAGGATTCCTGCTGCCTGTGCTGACAGTTGGGGAGAGGACACTAACTGGTTGTGGGGTCCCAATGCGATGGGAGGCTGGACAGAAAACGCTACAAAAAATGGCTTTCACCCCAGATGGCTCACTTGATTTTTGACAGCCCTTAAGCCCTTAGGCTGTAACTACTTGTTAGATCCTTCTTGTGTATCTCTGTCTTCCTGAGAAACCACTTTGAAGATACCTCCATGTATTACAGCAGCCATTGATATTTTCCTACTAATCTATCCATAACTCTGTAATGTTTGTATTGTTCCTATCCTGTTTCATAACTGGATGCATGTTTATTATTATGTGTTTCCTACAACAACCATTGAGAATAGTTAATGATTATTCAATTGGTCACTCATGTATAGCTCTATTTATTTTCTTTAAAAGCCACTTTGAGGATACCAAAGTATAGTACAACAACTATTGATAATCTCCTACCTCTTTTGTCTGTAACTCACTATTATTTGTCTATTTGTTTTCCTGAGAAACTATCTTGTAGATAACAATATGTAAAACAATAACCATTGATAATTTCCTACTACTTTGTCTGTAATTTGGTAAGCCCCCCTATTATTATGTTATCCTTCTTTTACTCTTTAAAATTTAAAAAAAATATTGCTGTTTATTCATTCATCTTGCACTTGAATATTTATTAAACATTTTTACATCAGGCACTAGGTTTTCATTCTCTGGTGAATGAAGCAGACATGTCTTCTCCGTGTAGGAATTTTACCATAATACAGGAGAGTATTGCATAAGGATTTGTTACCTACTATCATGAGTGGTTATTGAAACAATCCTAGAAAAAAAGAATAAGCAAACATGTTAGCCTACTTCCATGAGAGTAATATGAATGTGGCATTTCTAGGTTTCATAAGATTTCTGTGATAGTTCAAACATTGTTATTTTCATTGAAGCTATAGTAATGTGATTTATTACATTTTTTATTCTTTGAGAGTGTAGAGTTAGAAAAAGACCAGGTTATTGATAGTTATTTTTCAAATGCAGAAGTGGTATGAGATTGTCTCACAAGGACACATAATATTTGATCAACTTTTAAAACGTTAGAATAACCACAGATAATTCACTTAACCTCCTTGTGACATGATTTGTTAAGTGAAAGCTTTAGCAAAGGTCACTTAATAGCAATCATAATAAATATTCATTCTATAAGAAAAATATTTTACAACACTTTGTGTGTTATGGAAAGAAAGATAGGTCTCCAAATGAGCTTTCAACACAGGTACAGAGGTAATGCAAACTGTAACAGACAACTTGAAAATGAAGCAGAAGTAAAAATGCCATAGGAAGTGAAGTACTTAAAGGCCAGGAAATAGTGCATATGGTATATTCTGTAAGAACTAAGAAGGGAAGTAGGTAGATTCAGACTATGAAGGACAGGGAAGAATTGGCTGTATGTGTGGGAGGAGTAGCATTAAATTTTTAAAGGTAGACATTTAAATAGATAAAGAGTGTCCAGGTGGAGAAAATTGACTCAGGGTATGTTAACTTCCACTAGGAACTGGAGAAAAAATGTTATCTAGTTTTAGACTAAGTGGATAAACAGCACACATTCCTTGAACAATAATTAACCTTCCTCTTGTAAATTCTGGTTGACATGACTTTAAATACTTCTCACATGCAATTTACAAAAGACCACAAGCACACATGAGATCACACAAACCATGTCATCCTCTGTTCAGACTCTCAGGAGTGAAGAGTCCCTCTGGCCAGCCACTTTCTATTTGTCAGCAGTACACTGATTCCTCGTTAAAGTCCATCCTGTATTTTCCAAGAAAACTATAATCTTTTAAAATATCCTATGTAAGGAGGTAGGAGTGTAGATCTTGACACTGGACTGCCTAAGTTTAAATCCTCATCCTACCATTTTTACTCTATGACTTTGGATCAGTTACTTCACCTCTCTGTCCCTCAGTTTTCCCTGTAGTAAACTGGCATTACACAGGATTGTTGAAAAATTAGTTAACATACATAAACTGTCAGAAAGGGAGCTTGGAACACAGTATTTTATATATATATATATAATCTCAAGTGCTTATATGATGTATAATATATATAAAATAAGCATATATACATATATTAATACTAAGGGTGTTACTAGCTATTAAATTATAGCACTTATGTTTAATAGTGGTTTTTAGACATAAAATGATCAGTACTAAAGGCTTACTATCTATCAATTGTTACTGAGTGATGGAAACAAAGAAACTAGAACGGTAGTTTGGTGATAGCACATTAAGAAAATCTAACATTGAAATTTGGAGTGGCGGCCCTTTTGGTACTGACCTTAGAAAGCACAGTGTTGTTTACGTTTCTTCCCAGTGCTCTGTGAGGTCTGCTCCAAAGCCATTAGAATCAGTAGTAGATAAACTTGGGAGGCAACATGAGATCATGGACTCTGGCCTTGTTCTCTGAGAGATGCTTCAAAATTTCATTGGTTGGGTGAACTTTGCCATCTTCTAGAACTATTTCCTTCTGTTCACATTAGCTGAGATTAAATGAAGCTACAGAGTATTAAAACAGTAAATTCTTCTTCATAACAGAACTGTATTGAACATATAGTGACAAACAATTTAGCCATGCATTGTACATGCATTTGACTACTAAAGTAAAGCACAATTTGTATTTTATTTATAATCTGTTATGATGAAAGGACTGATTCAAAACACAAATATAGCTACAGAGTCACTGTTCATAAATACTATTTGATTTTTTATGATTTTTTTTCTGTGAAACAAAACTGGTGTCATTTAGAAATGTTATGTGTATATTTTTTAATAATGAGACCCACAGAACAAGCTATTTAGTATCTGGTCAGCCTTAGTTATTATTCATATTCTTCTTAACTCTTGCCAGTAATATTATTTAGCAAATTGTTCATTTATCTCCCCCTCTCTTCTTCAGGTACATACCTGGCTAATTTAACATCCTGCTCCTGAGTAATATGTTCTTTCATGCTCCATTGATTATCTAGTACTATCTCAACATAGAATTCCCCTGCCCCAATTCTTGAAAGCTAAGCTAATGGTAGCACTATAAAATAACTATGTGCTCATTACCTACAATTAAATAAAAATTACAAGATTTCTTTCTATTCATGTGAGAAAGTTTACACTTGTGTAAACACAGATGTACCTAATCTTCCTTCATCAATACTTAGGATATGTTTTTTCTATTTTAAAGAACAAAATAATATAATTACTTTGATTTTATCATCTCATTTTTTTTAGCATAAAAGGACTGTTTTGGCAATATATATTATTTCACTAATCTTAACCACAAAAGAATGTCCTGATCTTTCCATTTAACACAGTTTTAAAATTTTGAATGAAGCAGATTAAAAAGACTATTGGATCAGAGCTTTTAAGTTACCCAGAATAATTCAACATTCCTTAACTTCATGGTTAAGTTTTTATGTCTTTAGAAATAAGTGTTTCCTTCCTGGCCTACCTTTACCAACCTTCAAAAACACTCTTAAAACTGCCAACATGTTTTAGTTTACAGCTTAAATACAATGACTATAGAAAAAGCACAAAGCCAAGTATTATTACTCAGAGAAACTCACATTCCTTACATATAATACTAGTCTAAAGCAGAAGTTTTGACAGAAATTTTAGAGCCTTGTTTATGTAAGCCCTGCCTTTCCAAGCCAAATGCAAAGAGGCTCTTGAAAATCCATGGTCTGGACCAGAGAATCCCTTTGTTTTTGTTCCCTATATCACTTTATATAAGAGTAGGTAACTGGAGTTGTTAGACTTTTTATATAAACTGAAAAACAGTTATGTTGACAACAGTAAATTATTATATATATCTTTAAACCACGTTTTAGATTACAATCTTAAATTATGAGTTCATGTACACAATTCTAGCTACAATTTGACAAAAAAAGGCATTTTCTGCCCATTATTCTCTATTCTGAGCAATTACTATTGTCCAGTTTGAACTTTGCCTACAATTCAGCTTTGAAATATTTAGCTTTTATTTGAGTAGTTACTTGGCCTTTCAGTAATTCCTAGGTTTAATTGAACACCAGGCATACAGGAGATGTGAACTTGTTCCTTTGAATCTCAGTGATAAGAGAGGCATGCATATCCTGCATATAAACAGTCTAAAACTAAGGATTCTTGACAAAACCTCCCTGATTCCTGCTGCTTTTCCACTGCATAGGTCACTGGCTGCATGACAACTTCTTTATTTTGGCTGTACTGCTCATAAATTTTGTTTTCCAAAATTATAGATCTTTGATTAGAAATTGATGAAGCTTGGTGCACGGTACTACTGTATAGTTACTAAACAAATGTCCTAGCTTGTGTCCCATAGGCAAGTCTCTGACTACAGATTGCCTTGCTCATTACTCCATGGTCCTATATCTAGCTCATTTCATAAGCATCTGATGCTTGAAGCACTGAGACTCTGAGATATAGGAATGATAGGAATTTACAATGTTTGCTACATTACATACTGTTATCTTTAACGAAACTGCTCAGTTCACCAGACATTAGGGTTACAAATAAAATAACACCACCAACACCAAAATACACACACACACACACACACACACACAAACACACACAGGTACTTTTTTATTTTAAAAACTAAAATCTGACAAAACAACAATGAAGACAAAATCACAATAACACAAAAACAACAAAAATGATACATGACTTCAAAAAAATGGTAATTTACAATATTTGCTACATTACATATTGTTATCATCAATGAAGTTGCTCAGTCCACCAGACATAAGAATGTAAGATTAATCAAATAATCAAAGATAGTAGCAAGTAAAAAATAAAATTGGAAATGGTGCAAAGCTTTAACATACAAGATGGTAGGAGTTCAACAGTGGTTCTTATACTGCATATTGTTGTTTTCAGATTAGTCATTCTGTTTACCAAATTCAAATGTGTAAAATTGGTCAAGTAAACAGAAAATTTTAAGCACTGACTGTTCCTTTCAGTAAATCACAGACATCAGCAATACACCTTTCCCAGCTATCCTTATATATACATATAAATTTTGTTTTTCATTTAAAAACAACCAAAATAGCAAAAACAAATGCATAAAATAACAGAGCAGAGGGCAATTAAAATAATACAGAATTTCCAAACATGGTGATAGGATATTAACAATGGTTGTTATGTTACATAATGCCATCTTCAAAATGGTTGCACATATAACCAGGAATAGGCACGCAAGATTGTTCAAACAATTACACATTAGCAGTTCCTTTCAATAAATTAATAGATATTAGTAATACAATTATTTTAGCAATCCTGTGTATACATATATATTTTTTTCCCTCTTCCTTCTTTCTTTTTCCTCTCCCCTCCTTCATCCCAGTTGCTCCATCCTATTTGAGCAGTTTCTTTTCCCTTTCACAATATCTATTTTACCTTTCAGATTTTATTTACTCTTTCAGGTTCTTATACTAGGGAGGAAATACGATGTTTACACATGTGAATCTGATTTATTTCACTAATGAGTATGGTCTCTAGTTGCATCCATTTATTTACAAAAGCATCAAGATTATCTTTTTCAATAGCTGAGCAATATTCTACTGTATGAAAATACCACATCTTTTTTTTCTCCATTCCTCGGTTGATGGACATTTGGGGTGTTTCCGATTTAGCTATTACAAATTGTGCTGCTATGAACATGGATGCACATATGTCTCTGTGGTATGATGTTTTCAGTTCTTCTGGAAAAATACCCAGGAGGGGAATAGCTTGGTTCAATGGGCCTTTTAATTCTTATTTTCTGTGGAATCTTCAGACTGATTTCCACAGTGGTTGCACCATTCTACACTTCCACCAACAGTCGAAAATTGTTCCTTTTTCCCCACAGCCCCTCCAGCATTTGTTATTGGTTGATTTCTGGATGATAGCCATTCTTTCTGGGGTAAGAAGTAATCTCAGTGTTGTTTTAATTTGCATTTCTTGAATGACTAATGTTGTTGAACATTTTTTCATGTATTTATTTGCTGTTTGTATTTCTTCATGTGAGAAGCATGTATTCATATCAGATGCCCATTTTTGTATTGGGCCTTTGAATTTTGGGGGCCTGATTTTTAAAAATTCTTTATATGATTTAGACAAGAGTCCTCTGTCAGAGGGACAGTTGACTAAAATATTTCCCAATTTGTGGGTTTTGTTTTCACCCTGCTGGTGATTTCTTTTCTTTTTTTCTTTTTCTTTTTTTTTTTTTTTTTTGGTTTTTCTCCGGTACCGGGAACCGAACTCACGACCTTCCGCCTGCCAGGCAGGCGCTTTTACCGCTGAGCTAAATCGCCAGCCCCTACCCTGCTAGTGATTTCTTTTGATGTGCAAAAATTTTTCAGTAAAAGGAGATCTCAGTTGTTAATTCTTTGAAGTATTTCCTGTGCAGTTTGGCTTTTATTCATAAACTCTCTACCTACCCCTATGTCTTCAAGACTTCCACATACTTTCTCTTCCATTAGATCTAGTGTTTCTGTTTCAATATTTAGATCTTTAAGCCATTTTGACTTTATTTTGGTGCATGGTGATAGGCTTGGGTCAATTTTGGTATTTGGCATGTGGAAAGCCAGTCCCAGCACCATTTGTTAAAGAGGCTATCTTTCGGGGCTGGGGATTTAGCTCAGCGGCAAAAGCGCCTGCCTGGCAAGCACAAGGTCGTGAGTTTGGTTCCCGGTACCGGAGAAAAACCAAAAAAAAAAAAAAAAAAAAAAGAGGCTATCTTTCTTCCAGTGAACATGTTTGGCCCCTTTGTCAGAGATAAGGTGGCTGAGTGTCTTTGTGGTTGTGTTTGCAGCTTGTAGTCTCTTCCATTGATCTTCAGGTCTGCTTTTTTGCCAATACCATGCTGATTTTATCACAGTAGCTTTTTACTATAATTTCAAATCAGGGATTGTGGTACCTCCTGCCTTGCCTTTGTTGCCCCAGATTGCTTTTGCTATTCTGGGTCTCTTCTGGTTCTAGATAAATTTTAGGAATGTTTCTCTAGGTCTGTGAGGTATACCAATGGTATTTTCATTGGAATTGCATTGAATCACACATAGGTATTTTCCATAGAAAATCTGAATGCTGGTGTAGGAAACAAAATTATAAAAATGGGATGAAAACTTTAAACAAATTTGGAATTCTACAGTTCAAAAACGACCTGTTTGCCCCTCTCCTATAAAGAGGGGAAGTATGTCTTCCTTTGCTCCTAAAACTGACCTGGTCTTTTGAGTTCTAGGACCTTCCCCATTGGGACAATCTAGCAAGAGAGCCTGCCTTTTCTTTAGTGTTAAAATTTCCTCAGCAGTTGTGGATAGAGCTGTCTACTGTGACCTTAAGATCAGCTTTCCACACTAACGTTGTGCTAGGCAGTCAGAGCTGGTCAGCTCTTTCAAACAATTTGGGTAGAACTCTTTATCTCAAAATAACCTCCCAATCTTACCTTTGTTCTCTGCATAAAGCAGAAGACATTTGTCTGTGTATATGTGACCTGGATTACAGTCCTATTCATCATGAAGTTCTTTTTATCAGAGATTCATGTGTATATTTTTGGCTTAGCTTTGACAAAGTGATGTTGGTTGATTGCTGGGATTAAGGTTTTAAGAAACTTTGGAGCTCTGATTCGTCATTCATTCAGAAGTTTGCCATCATGTAAGGAATTTAAACTACATAGATAGAGAAATATCCCAGAGGAGGGCATAGGATGAAAAATTAAAAAGGGAACAAGAGAAATGCAGCCAATCCCCAGTTGTTCCGGCCTTACCAGCTGAGTGCCAGATGTGTGGGTGAGGCCATCTCAGACGCTTTAGCCCCAGGCAAACTGCTCCAGCTGACATCCCAAGGTAGACACTGGTCTTTTATGGTGACAGTACAATTGTCCACCATTTTGTTGTCTTAAGCCATTATTGGGGTAGTTTGTTATGTAGTACTAGGTAACAGAAGTGCCATGGAAACCACATCTGCACAATAATGACAGGAGTTTTCAAGGCATAGAGCTCATGGGTATGGTCCTCATCTCTTTCTTTTTCTCCTCTTTAAAAAATAATATCTACAGATGCAATGAACATCTTATGACTGTAAGGTGACAAGCAAGACAATACCTTATATGTTAAGGACAGCAGGGAAGGAAGGTGGCCAGGTTGTTGATGGCATCCTTGAACTATGCTTGCTCTCATCTGCTTGTTCCCAGAATTCTCATACTTGAATAAATACTTATACATTTGTACATTAAACTTATCTGTTGGGGTTGCTCCCTCTTCCAGGTGAATGCAAGCTAAACTGATGTAACTTTTAATTATTTGCTGAATTTAAGGATATTTTTAAAAACATGATATTACTGTATAGGGAAAAATTAGGCAGATATTTAAAACACATATCATTGTATAGAGCAAAGCTAGGTTTCAAAAACAATGTACTTCTAATACATAAATGTTCCTCTATCTTTACAACTCCCTGAAGTCTATCACAAATAAATAAATAATTGGAATGTAATATATCAAATGCTACTTATAACTTCTATGCTTAGTGGCCCTTTCACTTAATCCCATAATCAACTGCACTGAGCCTTGTTTTCTTCAGTCAAAATAAGGTTCAGCAGTAAATGTAATTTGCAGAGTTGTGGGGAAGTAGAGAGGATGTACATAAGATGCTTAGACTTGTGTTTGCACTAACTAAATCCTTTTTCTTGTTTGTTTGTTTTTTTTTTTTTTTTGGTTTTTCTCTGGTACCAGGAACCGAACTCACGACCTTGCGCCTGCCAGGCAGGCGCTTTGCCACTGAGCTAAATCCCAGCCCCTGCACTAACTAAATCCTTGATAAATGCTAACTATAATTACTTCTGTGAACATCAAATCTCTGATTCTCATTTTCTTTTCTATAGTTTTTAATCCTTCAGTTTACTATGATATGAACAGCTACTTTGATATTCAGAAAATGAAAAAAGCAAGAAGAGTCCAATATAAAAACATTTGCATGAGCTCCATAACAGCATTGAGCTCCATAACAAAAGTGCTCTGGAGCAGTTTGATTTTCACAATTTTTAAATAGCTTAGAAAAAGTATCTATTAAACTAATTTTATCCTTTACCTGAGTTACCATTATCATTGTTCTTTTTGTTTTTGGCTTTTTGAGACAGGGTCTCACTATGTAGTTCAGACTGACTTTGAAGTCACTCTGTAGCCCAGTCTGCCCTTAATCTTTTGGTGATTCTCCTGGCACAGCTTCCCAAGAACCAAGATTATCGACATGTACCACCACACCCCAGAGTCATTATCATTAAAAAATTTTAATTAGGATAATATAGCAAAAATGTATCTCTATAATAAAATGAATCTTTACATAATGTTCATCTACATGTTCCTGAATAAGTCTGTGGGCTTCAGAACTGTCATAATGCCCCACCTAGTAAACGTTGCAGTATTTACAAAACATCAAGCTAAAGTTGCCTAAGCTTTTCTGAGCATATGGAAAAGAGGTGGGAGCTGACACTTTTTGTTGTTTATCATCACTGCCTTTATTTGGGCTGATATTTCTGGAACTTTAATATTACTCAAAATAAAATGGAGAAAACAGCACAAGCAATTTGATTATTTCTGACTAGTGATTGATCACTGGTATTGATGGAAACCTGGCAATTTTAACATAGCAGCACAGTCTAACAGTGTTGCTTTCTTGCATTTTAAGTCGTTTCCTAAATAGAAGGTGGGTGTTCCAGTTTGAGGTCTGCTACTATCTGGCTGCCTATTATCATCATGCTGCCTTGGTTTCTGAAGTGCAAATGGGTTATAAGACTGATCTTTTCTTTCTTTCTTTCTTTCTTTCTTTCTTTCTTTCTTTCTTTCTTTCTTTCTTTCTTTCTCAGAGTATTTTTTGGTTTCAAAATTTATTCAGGTAGAGTATAACAATGTAAATAGCATGCTCAGGAAAAAATACAACTAAGAAAAAATGCAAAGATATATTGAAATGAGAAAAATAAGAGTGAGCAGTAAGTTGCCTGCCAAAAGATATTGTGTGCTTGCTGAAAATGGGCCTGGACATGGCTTTTGACTGTGTTCCCTAGCAGCCAAGAAAAAAGATAAGAAAATGGGTTACACATTCAGAGGGTCAATAAAATAAACCTCACAATCTCAGTAGGCATAAAACCAAAACAAAGATATTGTTCCAGAGAATCTGTGTTCTGATTAACTTTCCACAGTGAATATGTTAATATGTTTGCTAGGGAAATTTCTTAGAGAAAGGTTCAAAATAGACCAACGAGAGAATACCAACACATAAAATTTCGCATAATTACTGTAGATGGGACCAGACCACTATATATGTAAGTACAAGCTTTCTGATGATTTGACTTAATCCAGAGACTCATAGAGAGACTTGGAAGAGTTACGCAGGTTTTAGGCAGCCCTTCATTACATTTCCTTCTAATGAATTTATGTGAGCAACTGGATCGTAGTCATAATGGGTTACAAGTTAGATTTTCAGTTAATTTCAATGGCACAGACAAAAAGTCTTGACCAATTCTTGTGGAAGTGCCAGAAGAGAAAACCACCATAACTCTTTATGCAGATGGGCTGAGGAGTCATCTGTGGACAGAAGCAGGAGTTAGGTTTTTCAACAGAATCAAACCAAAACAAACACTAAAATAACAAATGTAAAACAATAAATGGGAGACAGACATCTAGATAAATGAGTCTAAATAAATAAAAATAAAATATAATTTTTACATAAGAGAATTTACCCCAAAGATAGAATATTAATTTTAAAATCTGGAAAAACAAGTTAAAAAACTAAACTTGAAAATATGTGCAAGAAAAAAAACTAGGTCTAAAAAGTAGAAAAGTAATGAATGAGGTTAAGACTGAGAGTAGTTTTTTAGAATATTCAAATAAAGTTAAATTATTGTTATCAAAGTATAAGTGTTCATGCTAAAATAAAAAGAAGGTAGGGAACATAAAATATACAAATAAAATAATGAAATTAGAATAAATATTAAGGGTAAATATCCTCCAAATTCCCAGTAAATTTTAAGTCAATATCGAGGTGATGGACAACAGAAATCCATTTTTAGAAAAGGCAGAGAACAGAATGGCATTACAGTTGGCAATGGAGCCCTTAGTGAGTCCTTAGTGAGGAAGGTTTCCTGGTGGGGCCTGAGGAACTGTCTTCAGTACAGGGCAAAGCCATGCAGATTCCTCAGCCTATTTACAGAAAAGGACTGTGGCTGACTTTCTGGGATGCTGGAGTTTCCTTCTGGAGGCGGTTTCTAGATTCCTTCTGTACTAACCAAAAAAATTGAACAAAACAAGCACAAACGGTGTCAAAGTTTCATATTTATTTGAAGTATGAAAAACTAAAGATGTAGGTGAAATTAAAAGTGAAGGTTAAGAGAGAGACTAGCTTTGCAGAGTGAGTTTGGGGAAAGTAAAAATAAAAAATATAAAAATAAAAGAAATAGGGGAAATAAAAGTACACCCTAGAGAATATAGGGAGGGCTAAGGTGGGGTGGCACTTTAGCAAACTCTTCATGGCATTTTGTCTCCTTTTTATTTATTCCACACATGGAAGGTTCTTCCCAGAAGTCCGTGTTTTGGGCTTTAGAAACTGTTCTGTGCTTGTATCCTGGATTTTGTAATTAACACATCACATTTATCCACCCCCCCAGCAGTTTTGCTGCATCCTATCTTCCCATCTCAGAGCTCTCTTGTTACCATTTTTCACCACTATAAACAAAACTGTGATGAGCCCTATGTATGTATATCTTTCCACATGTTTTTTAGAATAAAATTCTTGAAATTTTAGTTGGCTAGAGTATACACATAGTTTTGAAAGCTCTTTGGTGATATGTAATGTCTACTTGTCCTTGCAATACTGTATATTTAAACAACAGTGCATGAAAATATCCATTTCACTTCTCACTCATCTAACCTGGATGTTTTCTTAAAATTTATTTTAAGAATAAAAGAAAGAAAGCATATTAACAAACAGACTTCCATTTACAAAACAGCATAAGAACAATACATGCAATATAGAGTTACAGACAAAGTGGTAGAACATTAACAATGGTTGTTGTATTGTGTATTGATATCTTCGAAGTGGTTTCTCAGGAAAACAAATAGAGACATGCAAGACTGATCAAATAAGTGTTAACTGTTCCTTTCAGTAAAACGATAGAAGTCAGTAGTACAACTATGTTAGCTATCCTGTGTATACATACATACATAATTTCCCCTTCTTTCTTTTCTCTGTTCCCTCATCCCTGTTGCCCTTTACTTTTGAGCATTTTCCTTTCGTTTCACAACGTCTGTTATACCTCCTAATTTTTATTCACTCTTTCAGGTTCTTACACTAGTGAGACAATACTTTGCTTACACATGAAGGTCTGGTTTATTTCACTTGTAAGTATGGTCTCCAGTTGTGACCATTTACCTGTAAAAGCCTCGAGTTTATCTTTCTTGATAGCTGAGTAATATTCCATTATATAAAAGTACCACAATTTTCTTATCCAATCTTCGGTGGATGGACATTTGGGTTACTTCCACAATTTAGCAATTACAAATTGTGCTGCTATAAAAATGGGTGCACATACATCGCTGTGATATGATATTTTTAGATCTTCTGGGAAAATACCTAAAAGAGGGATAGCTGGGTTGAATGAGACCGTTAGACCTAGTTTGCTGAGGAATTTACAAACTGATTTCCACAGTGGTTTCACCAGTCTGCATTCCCACCAGCAGTGGAGAAGGGTTCCTATTTCTCCACAGCCTCGCCAGCATTTGTTATTGGTTGATTTCTTAATGCTAGCCATTCTTA